GACGGGACCCCCCCCCCCTCGGCGCCCAGGACTTCCCTCTGCACCCCAGGAGCCCCACTCCTGCCTCCCTAGTGCGAGTGCGCCCGAGCGGTGACTTTCGGGGACTTCCTTCCCCCCGCCTCGCGGTGACCTTCTGTGGCTCCCCCCGCCCCCCTGTCCTGCCGCTCAGACGTGGCTGCTGGGGGGAGGGGGGGAGAGGGGCGGTATAAAGGGCCGGAGGCAGCGCGGGCCGAGATCGAGACGTGGCGCGCCCACTCTGCCGGCGTCGGCTCCAGGTACGTGCGCGTCTCCCGGCTAATCCAGCCATGTGGAGAGGGGTGGGCAGGGGCCGCCGGGTCTTCCCGGACTCCGAGTTTGTGATTTTGTCCTTTTCGTGTGACATCCTCATGCGTGCTCTGAGCTGGAAACTCTTTAAAGACGGAGCGAGTTAGTTGCTGCGGGTTCTTGGAGGAGTGATTTAGGGGTGCGCCTCCTGGACTTCTAGTCGATTTCGGCGGAGTTAACTTAGAGAAATGAACAAATCCGACGAACCAGAGAGGCAGGTCAGGGGATCCCCAAGTAGCCACACTGAGCGTTAAGAGAGCAGCCCCTGGATGGACAGAGTCGACTCATCCAATTCTGGGGCAGATGTTACTTGTTGCACTTCTGCCGGATCTTTCGGCTTTATCGAGCAAGTACTCAGGTGAAAAAAGATTCATAATTGGAAAGCAAAGTACCTTTCAAGACTCCTAGAATTTGATACTTTGTTGCAAAACTTCCGTTCAGAATCCTGAAGGGCCGCGCGTGACCTTTTCCTCCTGGATGGGGGTGGGGGACAGTCTCCCTGGGCCCTTTTTCCTCCATCTCGGCCTCAGAGGGTGGCTTTAAAGTTTCCCTTGCATAAGGAAACGCATGAAGGCCCCCACCACTGCCCTCCCTTGCTGCAGTGACATAGGATGCCCTATGGGCCACATTCACACAACCACTCCAAGCCTGTGGCGGGTTCTTGGGATTCGCGAGGCTGGGAATGGCCCAGTGTGCTCCTAACTGTGCCATTGAGTTCATCCTTAAAACTAAGAACCCATGGCTGGGTGGACGGTGTCATGGCTCACACAGTAGCCACGCAGATCTAAGAGAAGGACAATTAAATACAAATTGACATTGGTTTGTCTTTATTTTCTAGAAATATTCTTTAGTAAAAGAATTAAATGAAAGCAATTCTGAAATTTTCCATGAAAGCTGAGCCCAGCCCAAAACCTCCAGACTCTCCCTCAGTCTGTCACTCGCGCTGGTGATAGAGCTGCTGCCGGTACTCAAGGCCTCACTCGGATTTCCTTTAAGACATCCGGGAGGAAATGTCACTGGCTGGGCGGGCCTCTCTGAGAAGCGTTCTTCCCTGGATTGTGGTGAGGGCACTCAGCCTGGTGCTGGGCAGCTGCCTGGTTCCTGGGGCTTTAATGAAAAGCTTACCACTTCTCAGTTCTGTGCTTGGCACATGGGACACTAGCTCCATTCCTGACATTCCGATTCTCTTGCCTACGTGGCACAGAAGTCTGAGAGGGCTCCCTGGAAGGAGGAGGCTGGCCAAGGTCTAGCCCAGCTGCTCTGCTCCTAGGAGGCAGGGAGAAGGGAGGATGCTGCCTTCCACTTGAATCTTGCAGCCCTTGGGTGGATGGGTGGACCTGTGGAGCCTCCAGCCACTAGGGCAAAGGGAGACAGAAATTACCAAATGTGTTTAGTGAATGCTTGTCCTCGCCCCACAGCATTGCAGTTAAAGGCGTGTACACTTAAAAAAAAAAAAAAAAAAAAATTCTTGGCATGTAGAGAGCTAAGCAGCGGGAAGAAAATAGCTTTCTACAACATAACCCAGGAAGGCTGATAACAACATTTAACTCGGTAAATTACGTAACTTTATGTGTGTGGGGGGGTCAATGTTACAGGCTACACGGAAGCATTGTTAAAATATGTGTGTTTACTGATAATGAATTACAAACAAATTAATCATAAGCATAAAGAGGGGGGAGAAATCAAATTGTAATTTAAAGTGCATCCTTAGTTTAAAGTGAAATGGGCCTAAATTGATGTTGTGATTTCATTTTGTGACCTGGGGAAAGTTCCTTACCTTTTCTGAGCTACAGTCTCTTCATCTGGAGCTTATGCAAACCTGCTGGCAGGTATGTCCTTTGTAAGCATTTAAGGAGAAAGGAGATGATGTCAGTGACATTCTCTCCCACTGCCCAGCATCGAAGGAGGCTCTCTACAAATAAAATTTTTTAAAGAAGCCACAAGTGTTTCCTTTTTCCAAATGAAATGTCTTGGGTTTTTTTCTTTGAAAAGTCTTTGCTCACTAAAGCACTTCCTACATTAAGCTGCTTCTCATCACATTGTGAAACTAGAGGTGATCATTTCAAAACAATACAGTTTCGTTGTCTTCTTTTAAAAATAAAATTATAGCTCTCCCTGAACTGTTTTAGGTGAGCCAGGCACATAGTATAAAAGAGTGAGAGAACCAACCAAATGCTTGGTGAAAATGATGAATTCTGGGGCGCTGATTCATGTGACTTGAAAAACGCCATCCATTTCCTGATTCACCTCAGTTTCTAAGTGGAAATATGAAAGATCTCTATGTCTCTGAAATTATTAACTGATTGTCTTGTCTTTACCTCCCTCCCTTGTGCTGTGAATTTCAGCCACATCGCTACACTGTCACCTTGGATGAAAGGAGCAGGAAGGGGGCAGACGAGAACATCACCTAGAAGAGATGACGATGCTGCTGTGGGTTGGGAGTGACCTTAAAGGGAGACCTTGACTTCTGTGATCTTTACAATGCGATAAGATTGTATTAATATCATGAAAAACTTCAGTCCAGAACTGCTACCTCTGGATGCTTACATCCTAACTGGATTTTCCTACCGATGAGCCAGGGGACATCATCACCCACAAGTGTTCTCTTTTTATTCCTGTTTTCCTTCTTTTAGATCCATGGCATTTAAGAACTGGAAAAATGGCTAGATCATCTGATCAAGCCCATCAGTCTTTTTCTTAACATGGCCAAACATTGGTAAGAAGATGGGCAGTTTTTTATCTCACTAAGATTGCCTAGTGCTGTGTTTTGTTCCTGTATTGTAGGTGTTTGGAAGACCCGTGATGATGGCTACAGGTAATGCTGTGATGCTCCCCGAAGTTTTGACAGGTGAAGAATCACTAAGTGGGGAGAGTTCAGGGAGCCATCAGCCCCTACTCAAGTCCCTTGAGCTTCTTTAGGATTCTTTTTACCCCCAAGAAACACTCTCTCCCTCTTTAAGCAGCTGCTTAAAGTGGGTAGCAGCCCACTCCCCTAGCAGAGGTCAGCAGGCCAGTTTTATTCAAAAAGAGCAGCCCAGAAAGTAAGACGGAATCGGAAGGAAATAGTTATGGCATATCTGAGAATGAGCATAAATGGGCATGGTACAAAGTGCGAGTTCCTAGACCCTAAACCGAAGGACCAGGTCAACCACGTGAGCACCCACTCTCCAGTCTCTGCCAGTCTGTTTCACTGGACACTCCATCACATCCCCTCCTCTGAAGTCTGAGTTTCCACCCAAGTCCATCCAGGGCTGCCTTGAGCTTCCCACGTCTGGTCAGAGGAACATGCTTTGCCGTTACCAGTTGTTCCATGGAGGTTGACACAGAGCAACCTGGCCCTCACCCAACCCAGGTGAGGCTCTGCTCACCTCGGGGCTCTCCGAACCCACTCCACAGGTGAAAGCCACCTTCCCCTACCTCACAGCCATGTTCAAGGGAGCAGCTTCTTAAAGTCTACTGACTAGGAGCCACAGCTAGAACTCAAGGATACAACCAGAACGTATATTCAACAAAAAGTGCTCACTTATTTTTTCTTAGAAAACTTTAATAATTCTTCTCACTTTCAGTAAGGGCCTATTAATAAAAGACATTGTATTTTACTTCAGCTGTGTTCCAGAAGACCAAAGTATTCCAGAAATCTAGAATTATTTGGCCTTGTTTTTATGGTTAAATTTCTAGATATATTTTTCTAGCAACCCAATTTCCTTAAAATAAAATCAGTGTGCTCAAAACACTTCAAGTTATCTTTTTGTAAGTATGGTATGGGGAGAGGAAAAAAATGCTAGGTTTAAAAGATTTTTGGAATACCTAGAGAAAATACAGATGGTTTGTGACACGGAGCTAAAGCATCCGTATGGTTTCCTGAGTGTTATTTTCTCACATTGAGCCTTGTATATATCTTGAGCGTCTGTAAGCAAAGAAGGCTGTACTTTTAAAAAAAGATATGTTTGATGCTTATTAATCAATGTCTTCTATATTCCTGTCTTTAGAAATAGAGCTTTGGGGGAAGTAAGTACCTTAGGAAATATGTGTTCAAAAATAATGTTCCTCGACATAGATTTAGAGATACAAATTAATCTATCTTGGTTTATTCCATCATTTACCAGCGAGATTAACTCATAATGACCTTAAGTTTGCTGAAAAGAGTATCTACTAAGTGAAGTTAAACCAATAGGCAAAGTGTCTCCCGGAGCAAATCAGTGGGAAGATGAGCTGTCAGGCATCCCAGGGCCCATCTGTCAAATCTCATTTCAGACCCTCCTTTCCATTCCCATTGTTGTCGCCTTAATTCAGAATGTCAAATTCTCTCACCCAAAATGCCAACACCTCCTTTAACTGGTTTCCCTCTGCCCCCAGTCTATAGCATCCCACCACAGTGACCATCCCCGAACAGTGCCCTCCATCATCCTGATAACACAGACCTCCTGATTTTATTGGAATTACAGTCAACTTGGCTTTAAAAAAAAAACTTTCTTGCAGGTAGGTGACACCATGGAACTTAGCTGTGACAAATAAGGTGTAAGTTGGTGGGATTCCAAGAAAGGCTTCCTAGAACCGATTAACTGGGCATGATCTTTCCTGCCCTTCCCTCCCACTTCCTGATTCCTGCTGGGACTTGATTGTGATGGTCGAAATTCCAGCCTCCATCCTGGACTGTAAGGTAACCTTGAAGATATAAGCCATGAACCAAGGACACTAGAGCTGAAAAAAAGAGGCTGAATCCCTGGTGACCCTAAGGAGCCCCCATGTCAGCCCTGGATTGCCACCCCCAGACACCATAACATGAGCAAGAACTTTCCCTTTTGTCTTGTCCATCATTGTTTCTCTTTTGAGTGTAGCAGGAGAATGCGATTCCTAACTGACAGGGCATATAGGCTCTTCCAGATCCAGCATCGCTGCAGCTTCATCTGTCCACGTGACCACTCATTCAGCCTTCCCTCTTTCCCCCCCTCCCACTCTGCCGCTCTGCTTTCCCGCCTTCAGCCACGTTTGTTGCATAGCACGTGCCTGGCGATCACTGCACATTAAGAAGAGAATGAGAGCAACACAGATCCCATCCCTGCCCTTTTAGGAATTATCGTCTACTGGGGAAGGTAGGTATCAGTGACTGATCCCACCACTATGTAATCATAAGCTCTGATAAATGCTAGGAAAGACAAGTTCAGAGATGTCTGGTTTCATCTGGGGAGCCAGGACCAGCATAATTGAAAAGGTGGCATTGGCGCTGACATTTGAAGGATGAGTAGTGACTAAGAAGTAGATGGGGGAAGAGAATGAGATTCCAGGGAAGAGTGGAAATATTGATTAACTTTAGAAGTTAAACACTTACTAAAATATCAAGGATAGTAATAGTAATTGCAAAAGACTAGCAATAAGTGCAATCTTCTAAAATAGTTACGAGGAAATAGACAACTTGACCAATCCAGTTGAAGGGTGGATAAGAAAAGAAGACAGAAATAGAAAGAAAAAAAATTGTAGAAAGAGAAGGACTAGTAGACATTAAGGAAATATGTAAAAATCTAATTATATCAGAAAGCACAATAACAATGGGAAAAAAATGTACCAGGCAAATATCAATCAAAGCTAGTTTATAAATACTAATATCAGAAAAACAGATTTTAAAATGAATCTTTTGTGGTAAAAATGTTCACTATCTAAAAAAGATTAAGTCATTAGGAAATACAAATGTATATGCAACTAACAAAATAGTTTCAAAATATAAAAAGTAAAAATCAACAGAATTATAAGGAAAATTGACAAATCCACAATCATTGATAGAGCACATTTCTCTCACTAATTGTAGATCCGCAAGAAAAAAATAGTATGAATTTAGATATCCTGAGAAAAGCAATTAGCAAGGTTATTCCAATGGACATATCAAACGCTCTTGCAAGATTTACAAAAATTAAGCAAGTCTGGGGCCACAAAACAAGCCTCAATGAATTCTGAATAATCAGTACCATGCCGTTAAGTTAACAAATTAATAATTGTAAAGAAAACATTTTGAAAACTTCACATTTGTCAATTGTAAGCCACATTTCTAATAACACGTGACAAAGAAGTAATGGAAATCAGAAAATTTCATGTGTTGTATAAAAATACAGCATATAAAACTTACGTAATGTAGCTAAAGTAGTATTTACAGAGAAATTTAGCCTTAAGTCCTTATATTAGGAAAAAAGGACTGAAATTAACATGCTAAATGTCCAACTCAAAAAGTCTGAAAAGGGGGTCCCAGCCTGGTGGCATAGTGGTAAAGTTTGCGCACTCCCCTTCAGTGGCCCGGGGTTCTCAGGTTCGGATCCCGAGTGCGGACTGACGCACCACTCATCACGCCATGCTGTGGTGGCATCCCATATACAAAATATAGGAAGATGGTCACAGATGTTAGCTCAGAGCTAATCTTCCTCAGCAAAAAGAGGAGGATTGGCAATGGATGTTAGCTCAGAGCCTTCCTCACAAAAAAAAAAATTCTGCAAAGGAACAGAGCAAGGGGAAATACCATATATAGATTATATAAATAAAATAAAATTATATAAAATATATATAAAGTAAAATAAAATTATATTAATAAAATAGACCAACCTTTGGCAAGATAAATAACTCACTAGAAAAATTTTGCTTCAGAAAACTAACTAAAGAAGAAATGAAAATCCAAATACACTTATAACCATTAAAGAAACTAAATCAGTAAGTACTGAAGTGAAACAGGCAAGAGGCCTTCCTTTCTAGGAAGATTCTACCAAATATTCGAGGCAAAGTAAATCCCTATTTTATTAAAGTTATTCTAGTGAATAGAAAAATCATAGGCCAAACTCCCAAAAATTCAAGGATGTTTTATCATTAGAAAATATGCTAATATAAATCACCTCATCTACAGACTAAAGAAGAAAAACCATATGAGCCTTTCGACAGCTACATAATATGCTTTGATAAAATTCAACATGTATTTCTCATTTTAAAAAAATCCTCTTAGCTATTAGACAGGTAATGGAAGGGAATTTACCTAATTTGATAGACTATCTACAAAAAAAAAAAAATCAACAAAAAACTTGACTTTTAATCGTGAAAAGTAGGAGACATTCACTTGAAAGAGAAAGTCAAGCATGCACATATCAACACTTCAACTCTGAAACAATGGTTGAAAAGGAAGAAACAAACTTAATTGCAGACAATATAATTTCCTCCAGTAAAACCACTTAAGAATATCTACAGATAAACAGAAAGTTCTCCAAGTTTGCTAGATAGAATCTCAATGTACAAATCAATTGTGTTCCCATAAACCAGCAGCAAATATGAGAAAATATAATTTAGAAAAGATAACATTAACAAAAAATGTTGATATATTACCTAAGAATAATTTTGGCAAAAGATATGTTGGACCTTTGTGGAAAACTTAAAAAACTAAATTTAAAGATCCTAAAGAAGGCCTAAATAAATAGATGCTATCCCACATTTATGTATGGAATGATTCAGTATATAATATCTTGAATATGAAATATTCATTCAGAAATATCCAGGCTCCCAATTCATTCTTAGATACAATGCAGATCCAATCAAAGTCTCAACTGGCTGTGTGGAGCTTAAGTAGATCCTAAAATTTATAAGCAAGGCAAGAGCGAATGTCTAGGAGTGGTTAAGGAATTTCTGCAGAAAATGAACAAAGTAAGTGGAAGTCATAAGCTATCAATATTGTTCTTAAAGCTATGAAAACTAAGACATTGAGATATTGGTGGAGGGGTAGACAAAGAGAACAATATCACAGAAAACCCATAAACAGACTCAAATATATGCCATCTTTGACATGTGACGCAATAAACAGGTCTAAGACAGCTGACAACCCCGATGTAAAGACATTGAATTAGACACCTCCTTCAAACTTTTCATAGAAATAACTTCAAAGTGAATTAAAGCCAAAGTGAGAAACAAAACAT